TCTTCCGATCTCATCATGGCCAAAAATCTTGAAACAAATGGAGTCTCGATCATTAGTGAATATTCGAGAAAGACACAAACTATGAACCAACTTCATGCTGCATTTGAAATTCTCCATACCCATAATATATCGAAATGTACCATTATTAAGCTTATCCCGTTGTGCAGGAGTCAAGAAACTTGCAATTAAACTCTTCAAATCGTGGTTCCCCTTCCAGTAACCACGACAGTTAAACCAATCTCGAAACTCATAATATCTATCCCCTGGTTTTGTAGGTGGAACAGCAGGGACTAAAGGACTTGTGGGTATTATACGTTGTTTAGGTGCTTTAGGTGCTTTAGGATCTTTAGGTGCATTAGCTGCTTTACGTGCTTCAGCTGCTTTAGGATCTTTAGGTGCTTTAGGATTTGTAGGTGATTTGGATTTTCTAGATGCCATATGTTCAAAAAAAAGTAAAAGATACAAAAAAATAACATCAGAACATTATCAAAAAAATCAGTTAAAACTTCAGCTCTAAGAAGGCTGAAGTTCGCCAGTTACAAAACAAAAACTTCAGCTCCTAGAGCTGAAGTTCACCAGTTACAAACAAACATTCAGAAAAATATGATGTAGTTTTACAAAAATAAACACAAATTCAACTCCAAAATAATGCTGAAGTTCATAAAAATATAACAAAAACACAAAACACGAAACAAAACTTCAAGCTACCTAAACGAAGGTATCAATTGAAGTATTATAAATTCAAATCTACTGTTTATGATAGTCATGAGGCTCATCCACCACCTTTGGTCACTTTCTCATCTTGGGTTTGTTCATTTGTTTCAATCTTACAAGCTAAATAAGTGGAGTTCTTTCTCCAAGAGAAAAAAAATAAAGAAGCTATATAAGTGAGAGTAGATTTCTGCTGTCATGTTTTCTGACTACTCATGTGGCAGATGCAATGTAATGACAGCATCTCAGAAGCACCGGCCTCTCAGCTCGACCTATGCATATAGTCAGATGATATTGAAAAAATATATATCTGTGAGCGTCACCACAAAAGGTAGTGAGAGTATAGTGGTAGTTCGCATCCACTAGCTTATATCCTGATTCTGGTAAATACTAGGCAAACCTTAAGATAAGTACGGTAATCTACAGAGTATATGCCTGTTAATGCCATTATTCAAAATGTCCATTCTAATTTACTACTACCAAATGTAAGGTACAAGGACTTTTCTCATGGTTGTTCTCATTTTCTTTACTGTTTTCTCTTTAGTGGTTCAATTCTTATAGAGCTTAATATTGACTTCTCATGTCATTATCGAATCAGAATCGGATTTGCAAATGAGGAAAAAGCTTTATGTTCCACGTGTGGAAGACAAGAACAGAAAACATGCGAATGCTACACATCTCAAGCATTGAGGAAATGATTGCAAATTCAATAACATCTTGGAGCCAGCTCCAGTAGATGCTGAAGGAAATGATAGGGAAGATGGTACATATACTTCTTGTCTCCTGATGTCAAATTTCTTTATTTGTTAGCATTTGTTGTTCAAGTGATACTCTAATGTGGAAGTTCAAATCATTCTAGCAATAACTGTATTTGGGAAATCCTTGATGTATGTGATGATAACTTTCCTAAAGTTCACGTCTTGAATATATTGATATTTCCAGCACTCTAACCCTCACCGCACTGAAAAACTTATTTTGTATTCTGTAGATTCTGTCATAGTGTGGTGAAAGGTTCTAGACAATAACTTTACGTTTCATGACCGTTAACCTTTCCAATTTCTTTGTTTGTGACAACAGTTAGGCGCTTCCGTTGGATATTATGTCCATTCCTTTTAATATAAAGACTACAAATCAAAGTAGTAAGTATCTAAAGGAATCTGTTTTGCCGGCGAATTCTCAGTATTGAAAGTTTTCTCTCGAAAAGTTATGTTGTTGTAGGATATCATAATCATCAATGTTAAATATCTATGTAATCTGGGTTTGTGCTAGTGCCATGGAGCACTTGTCTGAAACATGCAAGATACAAACAGGAGAATAAAAGTGAAAGTATCATAGCTTTTCTATCATTTGGACCTTTCAATCTTTGAAAGTTTGCCTGCTTTAGATGGTGGAAGGCCTAAAAGATTATAAGTTTTACTAATGGAGAAGAGTAATAATAGCTTTTTGAGTTCTTGACTGAAGGATGACCTTATGCCTTCTTCAATGCTTAGACTACTTTTCTGCTATGCCTTCGTTTGATTTTGTTGTTGCTTGAGGCCTTCATCAAAAGAACTCAGTTATGGACTGGCTATCGTTTACATCTCTTATTCTGCAAATTCTGTTCGTCACGTACTTCTTATTTTTGTCCAGTTTGGTTTAGTTGGTTTTAAAAGTGAAATAGGACTATGGATTTAGTGCTAGTAATTGAAGAGATTTTCATGTTGCAGTCTGTTGGCGGATGAGCCTGTTGATTTGTTAATTTTACCTGGTAAGTACTTCCTAACTTTTCATCGTCAAACTTCTCGGATTCAAAACTTGAAACCAGATAATTTTGGAGTTGCATTTTGATTTCTGCTCTCTTTTTTTGAAGGACTTGCTTTTGACAAAGCTGGAAGGCGGCTGGGCCGTGGTGGAGGGTAGGGCTTTAATATCTTTGACTCTCTACTTCATCTTCTTCAGAAGTGATAGGTTTAACTGAAAGTGCAACCCATGAAAAAGAAAAATAAGAGAAGAGTCATTATAAGTTTCTCCCTCTTCTATAAACCTAATTATCCTCTTGTGGTGATCCTTTCTTCCTATGGCTTGTGAAACAGTTATTACGATACCTTCTTGACAAGATATCAGGAACGTGCAAAGGAGCGAAATTGGAAGCAACCTCTCAAGAGTATGTTTCTTCGTTACTTCTTTCTAGGACTGCATGTGACAGTTCTGATTTGTTCCAACAGATGATTTTAGCTGCTGCTCAGTGACTTTTTTCTTTTGGATTGCAGTTGCGCTTTCTTACTCAGTGCAGATATTGGATGAGGGCACTATACCACTAACTCCAAATGATGTTCTTGTTGATGCACTTGTATCACCTTCTGGTCTGATCCCCATTAGTCCAGCTGCACTGGAGATATTCCATTGATAAAGATGCTCCTCTAAAGACCCTCAGGCCTCAGGTCTACAGTTGCACCGAGTAGAGGTGACACAAAATCCTTTCACTTAACTAATGGATCTGACTGTGAAGAAATCATGTACTTTTACTTCATCAAGACTCAAGTGCAAGGGTTAACAGATGGTTTCTGTTTCATTGCATCTAGATAAAGAGCCTTGGGGAAAGTTCCTAATCTGTTGTATTCTACTGATATTGAGTTGAGAAACCTGAAGAAAACTGTGTCCTGAATGCGTTGTATTCTACTAGTGTTAATTGTGTAAGAGTACTCATATAGCTAAAGTAATACCCTTTGGTTTGAAGTTATTGTCCTTTGGTTTGAAGTTATTGTCACTCGCTCTCTACCTCCTTTTACCAAGACCCTTTAAAGTAAGACACTATACTTTACTTGTGTGAGCACATTCACATAATTAAGACTAGTTATATGAGACACATGCTAAACTCTTTCCTCTTGAATTGAGCCTTTATGAAGTGAAAAGGTTTAAGATCTTTAATTACACTTGTGGGATTTTTATATGTATCTTGGCTTAAAGCAAAGAAATGGAATTTGTATCTAAAGGGTTCTGTGGTAAAGCCTTTGTTTTGGATGAAGAGTTAAAGTAATCAATAACTAGTGATTATGAATTATGAGATTTGTGCAATAGTGGACTAGTTTTGAAATTCCATTTATCGGCTACTCATAACTTAGTTTAAACTCTGGGAGTCGAAATTCTTCCATAAGTTCTTTGAATTGCACATTAAGGACATGGTAGAGGAATACATTTGAACAAAAGAAGCATATTACTCTCAGGTAGGAGTGTTTAGTTCGATTTGATCCATTTTTTATCTAAAACATATTATGTTTATATGTTTAATTACATATGTGATCAATATTTCTGTACTTATATTACTAAGTAGGTTCGACTCTTTTTTTTTCCTCAAAATTTACAGGAAAATTAAAAATGTATCTTAATTATTTGGTACTGCTGTAGGCTCATAGGGGAACCTTTGCATTTAAAAAAAAAAAAAAAAAGAAAGAAAGAAAAGAAAAAAAAAAACCTAAATAACCTAAAAATGGGTTCGGCTTGGTCAATTTTTTATGAGGTCCACAACTGGTGGTGAATATTCTTGTTCACCAAGCAGATCTCACACTTGAAGAAGCAAGTAGAGTATTATTTATGGAGTAAACTTTTTCCTAGGGTGTACATGATCGAGTTGGTTCGGATTTTATGATTACCAAACCAAACCAATTGTATCGGGTTATTAATTCTAATGACCAAACCAAACCAATTAAATTCGGGTTTTTCAATCTCGGGTTTTCTCGTATTTTCGGGTTATTCGTATTTTTTTCTGGTAGAATTGTATTGGAAAAAAACTGAATTTATATAAGATGACGTGTCATAACACGTGGACCGGTCAAATAGTCAAAGCGTGGAATCAGTTAGAAGGCACGAGCAACAACAGATGCGGGAGAGAAGATACTTAAAGGCACGAGCTATTATTCAAATGAAATGAGACTCGTACCTGTTCGAGTCATTTAAAGCTCGAAGATCGAAGGAATTGAAGAAATGAATCTGATAGCGTAAAGGAGTCCAAATTCAGCATTAAATGCCAAATACGTTGAGAGAATTTGTATTTAATAGGAATGATTGAGTAACGTTTCTTTTAATGTCATTTATTGCTCAAATAATTGCCTCATTATGACAAAGGCATTACACTTTTCTCTAGAATTAACTATAAAAGGGGAAGATCTCAATATCTGTAGGACACGAAATATCATTGGGATTATACTGAAATATATACTTATTCATTGCTTTATTGTTGTTCTCAAAGTCTCTCATTTCTTGATTATCAGTAACCCGATTTCTCTCTTAATTTCTAGCTTTAACCAAATATTCAATTTTTTTTGGTTAAACAAATTGGTTCCGTTACCGGGAATCGGATAATCTATTCTTTTTAAGTTACATTTTATCTGTTGTTATCATCATGTCAAACAACAACAACAACAATAATGGTGATGAAAATCAAATCCATCAGAATCAAGGAGATTTACAAAACATTAACGTGGTTCCTTCCCCTCAAAATTCACCACGTCAATCTCGTGAAG